TGTGTGTGTGTGTGTGTGGTGCCCATGTTGTTTCAAGAAGCAGCCCCAGGGCTGGTTGCACATCCTGGCCTCTCTGAATAAGGGGACACACGGGAGACATGGAACCTTCAGAAAGGCCCAGAACTTTTCAGCTCAGCCCTCGTAGAGACCCTGTGGGGACCCAAAGAAAGCTCTGTCCAGAACCTCTTTCCAGCAAAACCTACAACCGACACGATGATGACTATTTCAGGGGAGGGTGTGTATCCCCACCTCCCAAAGCCTTCAGGTTAAAAACCTCCAATATTTTTGTTCATTGCTTAACCAAACCAGATGTTTTCACTGGAATGGCTGTGTTTTTAAGGAAACGGTTGGCTGATTCCATTGGGAGGGGGCTGCAGGCAGAGGAGTATGTCAGCCAGGCACCTGGGGCCCTGGTCTCAGCTCTGCCACCAGCTCCCTTGGTGCCCTTGACAAGTCCCTTCCCTCTCATGGACTCCATTTCCACACCTGGAGAAGGGAGCACTGGTCCGTTGCCCTTGGAGATCCCATCGTATCAGTCTAGTTGGGTTACTGGCCAAGCTGAAGGGAACACTTTGTCCTTGGTGGCCAGTGGTCTGAGCCCGCATCCTCTCTCCTGGGAGGGGCTGGGTTCGGGGCACGGAATGAGCTTGCTGCCTGGCTCCCGGCCAAGATCATCTCCTGATCAGAGACTGGCATCCCACTTGGACCTGAGAGGGGCAGGGGCAGAACCGAGCAAGTTTGGACAAAGGGCCCAAGTACCTATGGACCCTGGATCTGCAATCAGAAGGCAGGACCTAAGTCCCAAGTTGGTGGCTGTTGCTAAATTCTGCATGTCTTGGGGCCCATCATTTTGGTAACCAGAGCTCCCATTCACCCTGTGTGCACAGTAACTTTGTGAAGTGAGTGAGGTTGTCCCATCTTCCAGACAAGGCTCGGAGAAGGAGGGTGAGTTGCTCAGAGCACACAGCTAAGAAGGGACAGAGTTGAGGACGCACCCCCAGGTCTGTCTGAGCCAGGCTCTTGGCCCTTATGTCACAAACATGCCCTTCCACAGCTACACAGCGCCATCATTTCAGCATGTGTGTGAGGTACAATTTCCATTGTACAGATGAGGAAACTGGCCCAGAAGGAGTAAGTGATGCTTCAAGGGGACAGCCGAGTAAAGAGAAACAAGTTCAAGTCTTCTGTGAGCCCCTCTGTTTGGCATGGGTGCCCCTAAGGGCGTGGTGACAGGTTTGTTCCCCCCAAAGCAGACCTCTCTCCTTTCCTTGCATGTCCCCCTAATACCAGAGAGCTAGTCTCCAGTGGGATGCCTCAAAATCCGGGGGTCGGGTCAGCTGTTGCTTCTCCCCGCCGTCTGGGTTCAAAGGAGCCACATCCCTGCTGTCAGGGTCCGCCCGGAGGCTCCCCACATCCTTCCTGTGGAAGAGGCGGCTTCACAGTCGGTTTCTTTAGGTAGGCCTGGCTGGTCTGCAAGCTCTGCCTGAGCCACTGAAGCCACAAAGGCCAGCAGGGGCTGTGGGGCTGGAAGCTCTGTCCAGTGCTAACTCAGGCAGCCACTGTGGAAGCAGGCCAGGGAGCCTTGGGATCCGCCAGACGTGGGTTCCGATGCCGGTGCTGAGGGGCACCTGTGTGCCAGAGGCAGGGCCGGACTCTCTGGATGTGGCAGTGAACAAGACAGGCCCTGCCCTCTTGGGGCTGACTCTCTAGTACAGGAGACAGCCCCCAACAGACGTTCTGAGTGTAATTAAAAAGATAATTATAGGCTGTGCTCCACAGTCTGCAGGAGAGGTACTTTGCAGCACAAGAACAAAACAGAGAAGTAACTGCATGTGTTACATAAATTACCTTATGCTTAAGATGTGAAGGATATGTCCATTTATTTTTATTGATTTTTTTTTAAAGAGAGAGGGAAAGGGGGAGAAAGAGAGGAAGAAAGAAACGGTGATTGGTTGTTCCGCTTATTTACGCATTCATTGGTTGCTGCTTGTATGTGCCCTGACTGAAGATCAAACCTGCACCTCAGCGTAGGGGGCTGACACTCAAACCAACTGAGCTCCCCCGCAGGGTGATGAGTAAGCCTTTCAGGTGAAGGTAGGAAGTGAGACGAGACAGAAGAAAGCCATTCCTGGCAGAGGGAACTGCATCTGCGACTGGAGGGAGCACTGTGGACATGAGTAATGGGAGGACTCGGAGTAGGGGGAGTTCCAAGAGCAAGGAGAACAGTGTGGACAGAGCACGGGGTCCTGTCCTAAAAGGGAGAGGGAAGGAGTGGGGAGAACCTGGGGAACATGGAAAGAAGAGGGAGAAGCTGACACTGATGGCTTGTAAATTGCACAGTCTCGGATGAGCATCCCTCTTTACATTCACAAGTGTCTGGGCTTCAGCTTATTCATACTGGAGATGAAAATTACTCAACCATCAGGATAAACAATGTGAAAACACCCACCACATCAGCCTGCGCTTTACCAGGGCAGGCATCCATCTCCCCGATGCCACCAAGGGAAAGCTGGAGACAGGGTTGACCCAGCATGATTTCCTCCAGTTACTAGTAAACCCAACCGGCTCTCTCCTGGCTCCTTTCTCTCCCCACCTCCACCACTTAATTTTGTTTTGGTTTCCAGAGAGAGCAGGCACTGGCTTCCCGTTGCCATGACGACTGCCATTAAAGGAGCTAGCCACGTGACTCAGAGTTGATAAAGGAAGCAAAGTGACTAACTGCCTTGTTTTCCTGCCTCCAGGCTGGGACTAGGAGGCCACTTAATTGGAGGAAAGAAGGCAGGGACTTGCTGGCCGGAGAGCAGACCCCAGGAAGGAGACAGGAGGAGCCTTCAGCACAAGGGCTGAGCTGGGCTTGTTTGGGGAGCTGAGCCTCCGGTGCCCTGGAAGGCCATAGCATGCGGGAGGTGGGCTGGACTTTCTAAGAAGGTAGGAGGAAAGTGAGAGAAACCACTGATGTTACTACTGGGATGCCATGGTGATTCCACTTCAACCCAGTGGTTCATAATGAAGGTTCTTAATCCCCCCCACCCCCAGGTATGGTTACCAGATGACATATAGGTAGGTCACACAATTAAATTGAATTTCAGATAATGAATAATTTTTAGTATAAGTATGTATTGCTGGATCTGGCAGCCTTACCCAGAGGACATCTGGCAATGTGTAGAGACATGGTTGTCACACCTGGGGTTGCTACTAGCAGGTGATAGGAGAGGTCAGGGATGCTGCTCCACTTCCTGTAATAGCAGGATGGCCCCACCCCAAAGGATCCAGCCCACAGTGGCACTGCTGTTGAGATTGAGAAGCCTCTGTGCTGGGCGCTGTCCCGAAGGCTCCCCAAGTGTCTCCTTCTTCACTCGTGGGACAGGCAGTCCACAGAGAGGCCAGGATTCAAATCCCGCTGTGTCAGGACCTGGAGGATGGCTTCATGACCCGGATTCCCCGAGGGCAGTGCTGAGGAGCCATGAGCTTCAGCAGAGTCCCTGGAAACGGCTTGGGTTTAGGTGTGTGCAGGGGAAGGAGATGAGGCCGGAAGATTCCGTTAGTTCTAGCTTGTGCAGGGCTGTGAATGCCAGGCTGCGTTGTCTGCTCCATTAGACAGTGGGGAGCTATAGAGGACTGATGAGCAAGGAGGGTCTTG